GAGCCGGGCGTGGAGGCGCATGCCTGTCGTCCCAGCTACTCGGGAGGGAGGCCGAGGCTGGAGGATCGCTGGAGGCCGGGAGTCGGAGGCTGCTGTGAGCGAGGCCGAAAAGGCCAGACTCTGTCTCAAAGCCAAAAAATAAATAAATAAAATAAAAATAGGTCAAGGCTCCCCCATCCGGGTGCCTTGCCCCACCAGGCTCTGCTGCGTCCTCCACAAAACCTCCAACCTCACCCATTACGGCCTCCTTTCTGAGCCTCCCTGACTCCCGCCCTGAATCCCTGGCCCCCTTCGCCCCTGGTCACCGTGTGTGTGTGTCCCCACAGCTGGTGGCCTCCAAGAAACCAACAGCCCGCCCGGAGCGCGACTCTTGTCCTTTGCTCGTTTGACCCCAGAGCCCACGGGCGGCCTCCATTTGCCCGGGGGGCTTTGAGGCCCCGGGGAGGACGAGGAGCGTGAGGCCAGCTCGCAGGCCCGGGCCCCCCGGCGGTCCCTTACCTCCGCCAGGTTCCTGCGAATGTCCCCGAGCATGGACAGCACGTCCTGAGTGGGCAGCAGGCCTGGGGTGACGAGAGATGACACGATCAGACCAGCCCCGGCCTCTCCACCCCGCCAGCCTCAACCACCCCCCGGCTGTTGTCCCTGCGCCGAGCTCTTCGGGGACGCGAGTGCCACTGCCCCGTCTCGGCCTCCTGGGCCGGCCTCCCGCCGAATCCGTTTATCAGAACGCCAAGTGACAGGTGTGACACTACACAGCCACTAGGACAGCCCCGGCCCGGCCTCCTTTCTTTCTTTTTTTTTTTTGCTTTCGATACAGAGTCGCCCGGGCTAGAGCGCCGTGGCCTCAGCCTCGATTAATCTGGCCTCGAGTGATCCTCCTGCCTCGGCCTCCCTCCCGAGTAGCTGGGACGACAGGCGTGCGCCACCACGCCCGGCTTATTTTTTTTTTTATATGTATTTTTATTGGGCCAATTAATTTCTTTCTATTTTTAGTAGAGACGGGGTCTCGCTCTTGTTCAGGCTGGTTTCGAACTCCTGGCCTCGAGCGAGCCTCCTGCCTCGGCCTCCCTCCCGAGTAGCTGGGACTGCAGGCATGCGCCACCACGCCCGGCTCGTTTTGTTTTTTTTTTTTTCTATGTATTTTTGGTTGTCCAGCTCATTTCTTTCTATTGTTTTTAGTAGAGACGGGGTCTCGCTCTTGCTCAGGCTGGCCTCCAACTCCCGGCCTCACTGAGGGATCCTCCCTCCTCGGCCTCCCAGAGTGCCAGGACAACAGGCGTGACCTGGCGAATGTACACGGTCGCCCTGGGGTTCCGGTTCCGGGGCCCCTGTGCCTCCCCCGTCCCCTCGCTCCCCCCAGCCCCCCGCCAGGCTCACCCTGCTCGCCCACCAGCGCCATGAGCAGGTGCTGTTCCTTGTCGCTGGGCTTGCTCAGCGAAATGTGCCAGGGCCCCCGGGGGCCGCTGCCGTGGCGGGGCAGGACCTCCTCCACCAGGGCCAGAAGCTGGGGTCCCCGGAGCTGCCTGAACGCCTCCTGCAACGACAGACACAGGGCCGGTGACGGAGGCTCGCGCCTGTCGTCCCAGCACTCTGGGAGGCCGAGGCGGGAGGCTCGCTCGAGGCCAGGAGTTGGAGGCCAGCCCGAGCAAGAGCGAGACCCCGTCTCTATACTAAAAAAAAACAGAAAGAAATTAATTGGGCAATTAAAACTATAGAGGAAAACTGTAATCCCAGCTACTCGGGAGGGAGGCCGAGGCGGGAGGATCGCTGGAGGCCAGGAGTCGGAGGCTGCTGTGAGCGAGGCTGACGCCGCGGCACTCACTCTAGCCCGGGCGACAGAGCGAGACTCTGTCTCAAAAAAAAAAAAAAAGGACAGAGACAGTCCCCACCCCAGGGTTAGGGTGACACAGAGGCCCAGCCTCCTTTACGCTGCCTCCCATGGCCAAAGCTCTGTGGCGATTATTCCCAGAGAGGAGGCCGAGAGCCACCAGCTAGGCCACCGCGGGGACAGGACCCTGGGACACCAAGACACACGCCCATGTGTCCAGGTCCAAGTCCAAGAGCTCGCTCCTGCCCTGGCCTCGAGCCGCAAGGACAACCCAAGCCTCCAACACCTAGATACCGTCCTCCTGCCTCGGCCTCCCTCCCGAGTAGCTGGGACGACAGGCGTGCGCCGCCACGCCCAGCTCGTTTTTTCTATATATATTTAGTTGTTCGGGTAATTTTTTTTCTACTTTTTTAGTAGAGACAGGGTCTCGCTCTTGCTCAGGCTGGCCTCCAACTCCTGACCTCGAGCGATCCTCCCGCCTCGGCCTCCCAGAGAGCTGGGATGACAGGCGTGAGCCACTGCGCCCGCCTAATTTTTTCTATATGTTTTTAGGTGTTTGGGTAATTTTTTTCTACTTTTTTAGTAGAGACGGGGTCTCGCTCTTGCTCAGG